TGCCTGGTTTTTTATTGTTTTTGAAATTTAGTACTATTTACACACATGAAGTTATCACTCTTCCCATGCAGATTTTTGATAGATAAATTAAAGCTATTTTTTAAAGACTCATCTAGCGTAGATACGGCAATGCAAATACTGCCCTGCATTGAAATAATGTAAGAGATGCAAATACTGCCATCAGTTAAGGTGCCCTTTAAAAAACCTGAAGGGATTTTTTGTTATCCAGAAAGGAAAATAAAAAGTAAATAAAATCGTTGTAACAATTACATGTACTTGTCAACAATCTTAAACCATATGAAGGCTAGGGTTCAACAACTACAATACTGTCAAGTGTTATTTCTTTTAAATACATACTTTACATTACACAATGATTAAAAAGCCTCTAGCCCCTACCTCACGGGGGCCTCTAGCCCCTGATATTCTCCAAAAAAAATGCATGCATAAAATAACTAAGTATTGTAGGTTATTATATGCAAAGTGGAAAAGACGTGCTTTTAGCCTAGCTCTTAAAAGTACCAAGACATGCAGTAGCTGTAAGATTTGAGCAGAGAGTTCCAGAGTTTGTGATCATAGTGACCGAAAGCTGCTTCCTCCCTCCTCAGTCATATTAATCAGCAAATTTCTCCCAGATGATCCGAGAGTTCTGCCTGGGACATACTTTACATTCATGTGACTGAAGTAAGACGGAACAAGACCATGTAACCATTTAGAAATTGGAAAGAGAACTTTAAAAATCAATCCTAAAAGCCACAGGAAGCCAGTCCAAGGATTTAAGAGTAGGTATGATGTCATCCCTGTAACTGGTGCATATTACCTCTGTGTCATGGATGGGGGCGGCTTGGGCACGGGAGCGAGGCATCAGACAGGCACAAAAAGGGCGGACGACCCACTTGCGGCTCCAAGAACAAAAGGGGTTTATTAAAGAAAACAGAAAAACTACAAACACAAAACCAAAAGGACCACAGGGGGTCAAAACTAAAGGGAATAAACTAAGACTAAATCACAAAACCAAATACGCATCAAACACTGAAAATAGCAGAACCATCAAAGAACAACAACAGAACACACAACACAATGAACCACTGGTGAACTAAACAGAAGCAGGAACTAAAATACTAAAGGGGTAACGAGACTAACACAGGACAGGTGAGACTAATTAACAAAGACCAGGGAAACAGGGCACAGGTGAAACTAATAACTCAAAGGAACTAAAAACAGGGAAACTAAGAACTAACCAAGGAAACATAAACCAACACTAGGGAATTAAACAGGTAAAGACACAAGCAGGGGCACAAGGAACAAAACCAAAACCAACTACAAAATCAGACACAAGAACTAAAGAAACTCAAATGAAACACTAGGGAGCAAAATACAAAAATAGGAGGCAGGATTCAAACACAGGACAGAAGGGTACACAGACAACCACATGCTCAACACATTGAGCCACATGACCAGACAGGTAACAGGGTAGAAACAACACCTGCTGGTCAAACGGGGAAGGGACACGGAAGGACCACAGCAGGGGCTGACCCTGACACTCTAGACCATTCTGTGACATTCTGGACCAGTTGTAGATTTTAAATAGATTTTTTAGGTAGACCATACAGGAGTGCATTAGAGTATTCTATTCTACTTGAAACAAAAGCATGTATCAGATTTTCACAGTCAACATACGACACCATCCCCACCGGCTTTGGCAATATTATGCTCGATAGTAATGATAGTAATGTTTGTAAAGTCACCATCGAAAAGAACTCCTAGGGTTTTAACTTGCTATTTGGCCTTCAGAGACATTGATTCTAAGTAAAACAGTATATCCTTCCTCTGTACTTCATTCCCAATAACAAGAATCTTGTTCAGTTGCAGCAAGTTTTGAGAAATGGAAGGTTAGAGATTGGCCTAAAATTACTAAGCACAATATTATCAAGTTTACTTTTCTTCCACAAAGGAATGACAACAGCAGTTTTAAGACATTATGGGGAAAAAATCCTTCTTCCAGAGAAAGAGTAGTAATACTCAGATCATTCATCCACAAGAGCATTTTTGAGGTCAGGCAGTGATGTTGGACATGAAGGTCATGGCTTGCAATCTCTGTTCTCGTTCATCCCAGAGGTGGTTAATGTGGTTGAGGACAGGGCTCTGTGCAGGCCAAGGCATTTAAGCCCTTTTTGGCTGGTCTCAAATTTGTGGTTGTCATTGTGGACTCCCATGAACAGTTTCTTAAAATTTATATCTCAGAAACTAAAACAGCACAAACCAAAATTTCAATGGCAAAAACCAGCACTACTGCAGCACAACCGATTGAGACCAGTTTGATTAAAACCTGAAACATACAGGGGGCCAACTTCACACAAGTGCAATAACGTGCTTACAGCAGGATTTCATGTAACTTCTTTTGAAATTGACCCGGAAAAACAAATGCTGTTCTCAGATTGGCTGGTAGGTGGCTACTAACTCTGTGTAACTTGGGACAGCTATGGACTCAGCGGAGAACTGCACTCTGTATACCCGTGCCTCGTCCATTAATGCTATATAACAGGACAGCAGAAGTTCATTTTATGTTAGATATTTGCTAGGTTTTTGCCATCTAAACGGCAATATCTTCCTGAACATTGCAATAATTCCTTTCAGATTAGGTTGGTTTGAAAACCATGGTAATATTTCACACTTTTAGTTAGCTCGACATTTTCCAGCAGTATGAAAAAAAAATCCAAAGCAAGACCAAATATCCTTCTGCTCAAACAAAACATCCGGAAGTCTTGAAAGTGCAATGCCGATCACCAGAACACAACTTGTATGTGACCTATAACCGTCTATCAGTATTGCAGGTGGATATATTGTAAAAACTGCAACTTTTTAAAGCCAATCAGCATCAAACTAGGTTCAATGAGTTCCCCAGGAGCAGTATAATGTTTCACACTTTTGTTTTCTAAAAAGAGAAACTGAAAGGAATTGATTGTTGTTTAGTATTAGGTGATCAGTGTTGACACACCACAACAATTAAATGTGTCCACTGCATTTAAACCATATGTGACATTGCAGGAGGCAGCTAATTCAGCACCCAGAGAGCAGTATCTTGCTCAGGATTCCTCAATTGCGCTGTGTTGGTCAGGGATTCAAACCAGCAATCTTTCAATTACAAGTGCACTTCCCTAACCATTACGTCACATCGCCCACATGATCTTTAAATTGTCACATACTAACATCAAACCATACAATTAGTGTTCTTTCACTGTTCAGGAAATGTTCACGCAAGGCGAACTTAGTTTGATGTTGATTGGTTTAAATTAAGGAGTTATTACAATATGTCCAACTGCAATATTGATAGACGGTTATAAGTCACATACAAGTGGTGCTCTGGTGATCGCCATTGCACTTTCAAGACGGTCCCTACGTTATCCGGCAGTTTTGTGCGAGGATATTCGCGTTTTGTTCATATTGCTGGAGAGTGTGGAGCTCACGGAAAATGTGTAACATTCCCTTCGTTTTACTTTACAATCCGAGCCTAATCTGAAAGGAATCACTTACATGTTCATGAAGATACTGCATTTTAGATGGGAAAAACCTAGCGAATATCGAACATAAAACCAACTTCACCGCGCTCCTTAACTCTCAGCGTGAAAAACACGAGACGTGTTGTGTGAAATGGTTGAAACGAGTTTCTCACGGTCAGTGGGAGAAACTTGAGATCCCTGGCCCTGCTCGAGTTTTTTTTTTCTTCACATACGCCGCTCCGTGCTCGCTTCCGCTGCGCCCCGGTCACATGCTCTGGTTATTGCATCAGTTGCTGGTAATAGTTTGGGGAATATCCATTTCTGTTATGGAATACCTTGCAATCGTCACAAAAAACAACCTTTCAGAGATTCCACACAGCTATTGTTTTATTCTCCGGTTTACAATTTTTCAAAACTGCATATAAATTAAGGTAACACCAGTTCTACCTTACAGTGATTAATATCTCCTAGTATAAAAAACGGGGCTCCTGTTGTGCCTTATATGTAGTTGCCCGTGTGAGAAAATAGTGTAGTAAAGTATTTACTTAAAAAATACACTTAGCACAAAAAATATACTTTCAGCAAAGTCTATTAAGTGTGTTATATCCCGAAAAAATGTACTAAAGTGTATTTTTTAGACATACTTTTATTCAAGTGTGCTTCAGTGTACTTGATTATGTTTATATATATTTTCTAAAAGTACAAAAGTATAATGTCATTGTATTACAAAAATATGTGTAAAGAGAATGCATTTTTATTACACTTCTAGGGATATGTGATCAAAGCACACTGTTAATACATTGTAGTACACCATTTTTTCACAAGAGTGATCATAGATGCAATCGGTTATGCGTTCAGCAGCTCAGGAGGTACAGAGGCTGTGCAGAGGGTTATACTCCATAAATATCTGGGCAGATAAAAGACAAGCAAAGAGGGTCAGTGGCAGCTTTACATGCCGCTGCTCTTGCTGTAACCTGTCGGCTCCATTACTCAACTTAAGACGCTTCACACTAATGAAATGATACTTATCTGAACCTCTCTGCCAAGCCGCATATACTGTTACAAATACCAGGGATATTTTGAGTAGTGGTACGGATTCCTACACATCAGTTAGTAACAGTTGATCTCTTAAGGTATGACGGGCAGAGGTGAATCTTGGGCCCCCATGGATTTTTTCCATAGGGCCCTCCAGCTCACTCCCTGCGCAGTAACATTTTTTTACCATTATTTCAACGTGAAGTCTAAATCAACAAAAAGAATTACACAAGATTTTTATTTTCACTTTTGCGAAAAACTGAATACACATATAAAGCAGAATTGTCATTGCAATGTAGTAAACAATCGGCGGCCCTTGGGGGCCCCCTCCCAGCTCGGGGCCCCAGACAGTTCCCTGCCCTGCCTGTCCTGTTACTGTGCCTCTGATGACGGGGACAGGTGTAAATCTCATTCATAAGACACAGATCCTCATCCCTTCCCCCACGCACGCTTCTGCGTATCCGAAGCATGTCTTTAGCAGGTGACTGTGGCTTTTGGTATCGATGAAATGTACTTTGGGTGTCACACATGCAGATGTGAGCCAGGTGTGCAATCCGCGCAGTGGGCCTGATATGTGCACCTGTACCGAGAGAGATGTGAGCCAGGTGTGCAGTCCGCGCAGTGGGCCTGATATGTGCACCTGTACCGAGAGAGATGTGAGCCAGGTGTGCAATCCGCGCAGTGGGCCTGATATGTG